TAAATAAATAAATAAATATGTTATTTACAGCAGTTATCTCTTTATTTAACTATACAATAGTTAAGAATATAACAGATTTTATATTTATTCTTCAGAATTTTTCGTTTGTGCAAATGTTTATTTTGAACAAAAAAAAAATTTTTTTTTCATTAGAAAAATCTTCTCAAATCAAAATAAGTATAAATATTCTTCTTTATCTTAATTGATTAATTAAAACTAATATCAACATTAACTTAATGTAAATCAATAACTTTTCTTAGTTTTTAATTTCGAACAATTCAAATTTTATCAACAAAGAAACTGAAATCCTTCGATGTTCTAAATTAAATCTTTTAGATTGTACATGTAAATTATCTTTTTATTTCAAAAACGAATTTATTTATAAATAACAAAAAGAAAAAGAGAATTAGATTTCTTCAATCAGATCTTCACAATGAATATTAACTTTCTGTTGAAATTGTTTGTTCATGATTTTTTTGCTGACAATGATAATGAAAACGCTAACAACATTAGAAAATAAAAATCAACATAATGAATAGAATAATAGCATCTTGAAATTGAACATTATTAAAAATTTCTGATTCAACATTAGAATTCAAATGATAAACTGTCACATCGATCGATTCTGATTTTATTACACAACACATAAAATTGAGTAGATTTCTTTTTTTTGTCTGTTCTAACTTTTATTTAGTGTTTTAATGTTAAATCGAGAGATTAATTTTGGCTTCTATTAGATGAGGGTCGATCGGTCTAGTCCGGCCTGATCAGTTTAGGCTAGTACTATGATTGCTAAGGAAAATATTTGATTTTGTTGAATATGAATAAAATCGATACAACAAAGAATAGAAACATTGTTTAAATGATTTGATGATACATGCTAGTGAGAACATTTTAATGCTATATGATAAGCTACTAAGATGTTCGTGGAAATCTTTTTTTTTCCAAGAGATTTCGTGCATTAATCAAGTCAGCGAATGTTTATATCTATGATTAGTTGACAATAAATTTTCTAAGATTTATCCACTTTATTTTCTATTAGATGATGAAACTTCTACGTGATTTTCATGATAATAAAATTACCTTGTATTTGATCATATACTTTCTAATGAATGGATGATCACATGAAGAAACATTTTTTGCAAATTTTGATTGCTAGTTGAAAATAAATGAAAGATACATTTTTATTGGCTAGGTTACCATCAATATAATCAAAATCATAGAAGTTGTGCATAAGTTGTCTTCCATCAGGCTTTAGAAGATGATATTATTCTATACAAAATACTATTTTCATGTTATTAAAAGCCGTTTCTAGATGTATCTATTAGAATTAGTATTAATATAAACCAAAATATTTTAACATTATTTTAAAATCTAATAATTAGATCTCGAACACTTTAAGCTCACAATTTGTTAAAATAGAAGAAATTTGTTCGATCTTTGAAATGACACTTCCAGTCAAAAATAAACCTTTTTTCTATTATTGAAAAGTTTGTAAAATGAACTCCGACAGGTATAATTACGAGTAGAATATAGATTTAAAATAAATATATTGATAAATTTTATGCAAATACTTTGACATAAATGAATTCTAATAGAAATAATACTGAAGTATCAGAATTTATTTTAATATTAATACTAATCTAAAACTTTTACTTGTTATAATTTAAACTTAAAACAATGAGCAAAATTCGTATAAATAGATATTAAAAAAATCGCTTCTGAAAAAAAATGAAGAGCTAACTTTTGTTTAATTGGTTATATGTATAAATATTATGATCGAAACTCAATACTTGAATAATTCTACTATTGATATTTAATTTGGAACGTGTCTTTATCTTTGTTAACATGAAAATATTCACAAAATATCATGGTGTATCAAGATTCTGACACCGTCAAAGTATTTCATGTTTGCTTGGTTTTTTTTTTAAATTTTTAATCGTCTACATAAAAATTAAATTGAGAACAAATATCTTTTAGGAAAATCTAGAGTTTTGAATTGTCACTCGAACTTATCTGTCTATAAATTTCAGTTCGTCGAAACTAATATCAGTATTATCAGTAATTCCTTAAGTTATTTTAAAATACTCTTGAGAAACATGCTTCTATATTAAATAAATCAAAGTCAATAGTAGAATTTTTATTAGCAAGTTTCAAAAAAAAAACAACGAATTTTCTTTATCGAATAAATATCCAATTTGATGTATTCAAAATCACACCTTCACTCTATTTCGATCACAAACTTTGTCTAAGATAAGATCAGTAAGATTTTATGAAATACAATCATTATCAATTTCAAAGCAAGTTATATAGAAAGATAAATGAATCAGTCGCTTAGTTTGCTTCACATACATGTTACCGACACATCAACCTACAAGTGTGAATTTTGTAACTTCGAGTTTTCGAACTTTAAGTAGTGTCTTTTACTTGAATGAATTCAAAATCATAAAGCTCAGAAATTTCTTTTTCTACAATGCTATATGACATTTTAGTCTTTGTCGCATATTGTAACATATTACTTCCTTGAATTTGCCATAGACTCTGATCGATTTCGACAAAATCTTTATGAACGATTAAAACGACTCTCTATCGTGTTTTATATTTTAATTCCGTACAAATTTTAATGAACCCTTTTAGTTCGAATATGAATACTATATAAGTACTATATGTACATTGGATAGTTGTTTTTATTGATAGTAGAGAAACATTGAACGAGGTTAATTCGATTTACAATTGTACAATCAATGCAAGATTACTCTAGGTCAACCGAAGTATGATAAATTTGAGTTCCTTCAGGTACAATACGATTTTCATTTCTACATTTCAATCGGAAATGAAGCCAGTGTCGAAATGGCAGCCAAATTTTTTTCACTAGAACATGTTTTACTTGATGTCGATAACGTGATGATGTTGCCATGAAAACATAAAAGTTAGCCTAAACAGAATATGAATAGAACATCATTGAGAAGAGAGAATCAAAGATAACTTACTGAATAATTAACATAGAAAATTGTAACGGTGACTACTTCAAGTAGATTATTATTAATAGCTGATAAAATTAATTGATCTGATTGAACAGTTATGTTAAGTACATATATTCGATACATAGTAAAAGGAAGAATGAATATTACAAGACAAGCTGCACGAGAAAGAACCATAGCTGTGAGTTGTCGATCGAGTCGACGACGTATCACTCGAGTTTGTCGTCGAACTATTCGACGAACATTTCGAAAAGCCAAAACACTGAATAATGATGCAATAGACATAGGCAATGCTCCCTGTATAATTGGATAGTAAACAGATGAATAATATCGACTAAATATTGCATTATG